CTGACGGCGTCTGTGGGAAGGCTGTAATCTACTGGATGTTGTCAGTTTAAAATTTAATCTTCTCCAACCTGCTCCTGCTAAGGGGAGGACAGTAAAAAAGAAAAAAGAAGAGGCACAGAACTGTACGATCAGAGAATGAGGCTGTGCTGTTTATCGCTTTGAGAGAATCAGATGGCCAAAACGCCACTTATATGAGTTCAAAATCTCAAAAAAGCACCTTCTCTGTTTCTACTTGTGGGCGTTGACATTGTTTATTTACTCTGCTGCTGCATGCACACATATGTTTACAATAATACCCATTTTGAAATTAAGTTTATGGCTAATGTTGGTCCTAATTCCTCAGTAAATCAGAGAAAAACCCTAATTTTCCATTAAATCACTGCAAAAGGCAGCAGACAAAATTTAAGATAATAATAATTAATAATAATAACAATTATTAATTCTAAACCATTAGTTCAGAGACAGAAAATGCTTTGAGCTCAAGGATTTAAAAAAAAAAGTAAAGAGACAATAAGTTCAAAACAGCCATGGCAAGAAATGTTATCCATTCAAAAGAGTCAATAAAGTTAATTTAAAACTGAAACCTATGACAAAAGTAGCAAAAAATATTAAAAACAGCTTGGATGGCAGGTTCCACACAATTAAATGACAAACTGATGTACACACGAGGATTGAAGCAACAAATTCCTTATTTTACAGACTGTCCTTCATGTTTTCATGTAGCTTGAGAGTATCTCTCAGCATGTTTGTAGAGTTTTTATCTCGCAGTCTACAGAGATACTAAAAATATTAGTCACAGATTGGTTTTGAACTCTTGATTGCATGATTAAAGATCCCTCCATAGTTTCAAAACTATTTAAAATACATGTGGAATCATTATTACCTAGAATTTCCATAACAGTGACCAGGTTTAAACTCTAGAGATCATAAAACGACTTTGATCTTCTATCCTACTTGTTGAAGTGGATATTTAAATAAAGAATAAAGAGATAATTATATGAATGCTTATATGAAGAGGGTTTGGACACGGGAGGGATGGTACACTTATCAGAGAGGGATGCTGAGGCCTGGAGGAAGAGTAAAGAGCAGCTTTTTGGGTGGAGTCAAAGAAGACATGAAGGTAGCAAGTGTGTGAGGAGCAGATGGAGATGAATCCCTGAAGAGTGACGCCAAAAAGAGGAAGAAGGAGACTATTAATGGAGCAATTACAAAGGCTGGAAACGAGGTAAAGCATTTTAACACTCAAGAGTCCCAAATTCCTCTGCTCACATGTTTCTGGTTGCATCAAATGCCACTTGGTGAGCGTTTTGTTGTTTAAGATATAGCTTTTATTTGATAATTCCTGCCTCGGCAGCACATTGGGTCTACTTTATCTTTTTAAAATCGACCTTTCATCATCCACAGGTCCGACATTTGGATCCGCTCACACTGCGAATTCATTCATCAGGTGGGAAACTTTTCCTTCTAAAAGATGCAAAACAGCCCACGAGAGTCCAGAAACTCAAAAAATGGCCGGGGCCTGAGTCCATAAAGCCGTTTTCAGATGGAATAAAACAGAATGGAGACGATAGAAATACTCTTCTGTGTTTCCTGGCTGCTTGTTTTGGACTCTGTAAAGCCCGTACCACCTGTATAACACGCGTAACTCGCATTATAGTCGTATTCTAAACGTGTAGGTGTTCGGGTCGGGGCTTAATTTGAATTCCCTCCCACACGCTGTTGCTTTGCACCGTTTATCTTTTCTTCCACACATCCCTGATGATGACACGTTCATTAAAAAAGGAGCGCTTTTCCATTCATTTAAAGGGAAATATTTACCTGTGTGAGCGAGTCATGGGGCTCTCCAGCTCTTCATAATGTGCTTGGCCTCTTAAGTAAGGGCTCTAATTAACACCAAGACCCACAAAAACCGAAAGCAAGCAAATAGGTATTTTGTGTGAATATAAAAAAACTGAATGAATGAACAGTGTCTAGTTTGAATGGGAGCTCATTCCAAGAGGAGGGGGTTGAATTAGCCCCGTTTTTGATCATCTCATCAGATGGCGAGTGAAGTCCCCCCTGCATTTGTGTGTTTTTGATCTCAGAATAACAAGAGAAAAAAAGAAAAAAAGAGGCGAGAGGGAGGGGGGGGGCTTGGTTCGTCCCACCAGGAAGCCGTTTCAGAGCGGGAGAAAAGTTGAAAGAGCTGCAAACGAGGTCACTTAGTGTGCAACCACATTATCTCCAGTGGGATTCGGAGCATCAGCTGCGATTCACACACACGTGCGCGCGCACGCACGCGTGTGTGCACGGGCCGTAATTGCTCAGGCATGCTAATGGCACCACTATCCAGATCTATTTTCTCCTTCCTGCCTTCCTGCCGCCGCGCTTGTGATCTGTGTGTGGAAATAATGCAAGAAACAATCGAACAAACCGATAGATTCTGCTCTTAAGTGGACAGTTTATGCACTTTAAGGGGGTTTTAATCTCATTATTTCATAGTTTCCTTGGAGCCAGTGTCATTACGATGCTTTTTCATCTCGGCGTCTTGTTCTTTGTGCGTATTGTCATTTAGAAAAATGTCTCTCTGACTAATTGGGTCAAGCTCCTAGAAGAAAAAGGCGCTATTTATACGAACACTGAACTTGGTTTACTTCAAGATCTTTATCAATTAAAGTTTTAGTCGGCATTTAAAATCTTACAGTCCACAATATGAAAGGGAAATAAGACATTAGCGTGGTTTCTGTCATAATAATCATATAGGTTTGCATACATTTCCTTATTTTTAACATGAAAAACAACAACATGAAACATGAAAAAATTAGTTCTTTGATATGATATTTTAAAGTTCTTTATCAATAGAATGGAAAACAGAGCATTTTGACTAGAAAATCAAATGAAGATACAAAGGTTGGTGATTCAGGCTTTACAGAAAATAAATCTAAATCTAAATTAGGACTTATTTCAGGGGGGGCGCAGTGATGGAACGTGGTTTTTAGCCCTGTTGCCCCACAGCCAAAGGGTTCCCGGTCAGAGTCCCCGGGGGAACCAGGACCTTTCTGTGTTCTCTCTGGCCACTCTGGCCTCCTCCCTGCATGTTGGGTTAATTGGAACGCTCCGGACTCTCCCTAGGAGTGGATGTGAGTGTGTGTGTGTGGTTTGTTGGTTGTGTGTCTCTGCGTGGCGCTGCGATGTTCTGATGCTGTCGGCCGGGACAGGCTTATTCCATCGGGAATAGGAGGTGTAGAAAAACGGATGGGTAGGTCTGTGGGATTGGCAATGAGCTCACAATCAACACTAAACAGAAACCTTGGCGCTACAGACCCCGCAACACCACCGATGACATCTCTACCTCCATCCTAACGAGGGAAAACATTCAGTCTAAGGAAGAAGAACGAACGAATCAGTGGAGGAAAACCAGACTGGAAGGTGGAGGTTGTGGGTTCAAACCCAACCAGATCTTTTTCATACTCTGTATCGATTTTCTACATCCAGTTGTATTCTCATTTCTGCCTGCAAACAGGTGAGATCTATCTATCTATCTATCTATCTATCTATCTATCTATCTATCTATCT